AGCTTATGTTCATCTATTTTACATCATCATTTCCTCCTTTCACGTTAGCTACTCTATGTTCAAGAGCAAGTTTCAGAGTCTCTTCTGACATCCAATTTGGACTTTTTTTCTTTTCAGTATTATTAATGACCTTTTGCTTTGTTCAGGTGGAATATACTCAAGGTCATATTTTGGCTCTTGTGGACTGATTTCCATTTTCTTCAGCTTCAACTTGAGCTTGCATATGGGCAATTGATGGTTTATTTAACAGCCCCCGGCTTTGTTTGGACTGATGATATTGAGCTTCCCCATTGACTCTTTACACAGATTTAGTTGATTTGACTCCTGTATATCCCATCTGAGGTCCACTTGTATAGTCGATGTTTATGTTGTTGAAAAAAGGTATTTCCAATGAATAAGTCTGTTAGTTTGCTGTACTATGGTGGCTTTCGTGTTGCTGTGATGCTGAAAGCTATGCCACTGATATTTCAAATACCAGTAGAGCCATCCCTGACGGACAGATTTCAGCAGAGCTTCTTGACTAAGACAGACTGGGAAAAAGGATCTGCCAATCTACTTCTGAAAAAATTTTCCAGTGAAAACCTTACAGATAGCAGCAGAACTTTGTCTTAGGGATAGAAGCAGAACATTGTCTTAGGGATAGCAGGAGAATAGTCTGCTGGAAGTTGAGCCCCTGAGGGTGGAAGGCACTCAAAATACGACTGGGGAAGAGCTGCCTCCTCAAATAGAGTCAACCTTAATTACACGGATGGAATAAACCTTTCAAGGTCTTCATTTGCTGATGTGGCACGACTAAAAACAAGAAGAAACAGCTACAAATATCCATTAATAATTAGAATGTAGAATGTATGAAGTATGAAACTATGAAAATTGGAAGTTGTCAAAAATGAAATGGAGTGTTTGAGGATTGATATCCCAGGCATTTGTGAGCTGAAATGGACTGGTTATGGCCCTTTTGAATTGGACAATCATATGGTCTACTATAATGGGAATGACAAATTGAAGAGGAATGGTGTCACATTCTTCTAAGAGAACATTTCAACATGTATCCTGAAACAACTTTGTCAATGATAATATCCATATGCCTACAAGGAAGACCAGTTTGTATTAATATTATTCAAATTTACCCACCAACCACTAATGCCAAAGATAAAGAAATTAAAGATTTTAACCAACTTCCGCAGTCTGAAATGGATCAATTATGAAATCAAGATGCTTGATAATTAGTGGTGATTGGAATGTGAAAATTGGAAACAAGGATCAGTAGTTGGAAAATATGACTTTGCTGATAGAAATGAAGAGGGTGGTCGCATGATAGTATTTTGCAAGACGAACGACTTACTTATTGAAAGATCTTTTTTCAACAACATAAACCGCAACCATACACATGGAATTCTCCACATGGAACACACAGGAATCAAAGTGACTACATCTGTCTTAATGGTAACTGAGTTAATTCATGCAAAACATTGCCTGAGGCATGTTGTTGTTAGTAGCTGTGGGGTTGGCTCTGATTCATGGTGAACTATAGTATAACAGAATGAAACATTGCATTCTTGTGACATCTTCATGATCATTGGTATGTCTGGGTCCATTGATGTGGGTATTAGGGCACTACATCTTATTCAGCATTACCTTCATTTTTACCTAAACTCTACTGTACGAAATATGTTTTTTAATCATCTGGTATTTCTATATGCATAGTAAGCAATATTTTCTGCCATAATATAGGGAAAGAGAAAAGCAGCCCCTTGTGGTGAAAAATTATCTTATACAAATAATTGGAATGTCTCTGACATTCATGAAGTAGTCGGGGCACATTGTATAGCACATTCTAAGAAGGTGGCTCAAGATGGGAGGCTCCAAAGGCTCACAATGTAACAATAAGCACTACCTCTACCTGAAATCTAGAGGAGATGGGGCTGGAGACTGAATTTAATTACGTGACCAATGATTCAATCACTTGTGCCTTAGTAAAAAAAAAAAATAAAAAAAAAAAAAAATAAAAACTCTGGACACAGAACGTCAAGTGAGCTTCTTGGTTCATGATAGACTTCTATGCATGGGGGAGGAGGGAGCGTATAAAGTATCCTTGGGACACAGAGGCTTCCTATTTGAAAGCCTCCCAAACCTTGTCATGTGTCTCTTTTTAATGCTGATTCTGATTTGTATCCATTGTGCTAAAATCAAATTCTAAGTAGAGAATTTCCTGAGTTGTCATTCTAGCAAATTACTGAACATAATGGGGACCCTCAAATTTTGCTAGTTGGAAATTCTGGTGGCCCTGGGAGCCCCCATATTCATGGTTAGTGTCTGAAGTGTTGGGCATACACGTATGCTGAAAGCACTGTACCTTTTGAGTTAATGAGTAGGCAGAGGTCATGCCCAAGCAGGGCTCTGCAGCAAAGACCTACCTGCAGATATGGCTGAGTTGTCTGATCAAAGAATTGTATCCTTAGTTGTTCTTGTTACTTCCAAGTTGATCCTGATCCCAAATTGTAACCTGTTACTTCTCCCAATAAACCATGAGTATGGTCTGTGAGATCTGTGTGGCCATCGCAACTAATTATTAAACCCAGAGAAGTAGACAGTGACATGAAAGGGATGGATGGTGTCATAAATGGTAAACAGTTTGGAGAATGTAGGTATGTCTGACCACCTCATAAGAATTAGCTTTGGGTAGATGCTGATGTTCTCTCTCCTCTTCATGAACTTGGTCTGATGTCACACCATTTTATACTGGTGTTGCTAGGAGCTTTGTCACTCACAGAAAACCAACATAATACAAACCCACGTTTTACCAGTCCTAGTTATCTACTTTTTGCTTCTGTTATAGTATCCCTTTTGCCTGCTCTTTGATAACACAGCTGGGCCTGATGTTTTTCCATGGTCAGTTCCCAGTGTGTGGAAGAAGTTAGAGGAAGAAGGGCTTCCCTTTCAAGTTCCAGTGTGATCACTTCCCAGGCTCCTAAAGGGGGCCCTTTTGTACCTAATTTATTCCATGTAGGTTGTCCAGTGCTGAGCTCCTGCATGGTACACCATTTGAACATTACAAGTTTTCTCCAGCTCTTAGTTTGAGCAGTGGGGCATAACCTGGAAACTCATACACATGAGCTTGTGGCTGAATCTAGATGAAACATCGCACACCCTCTCCTCAGCAAATGCGGGGTTGCCTATCAGGTAAGATGCCCATCAGGTGAGCTGCCCACCCAAACTTGATCTCCTAAAGCCAGTGGCACATGGAAGTGTGCTAAATTCCTCCCAAAACAGCCTCTGCAGATCCCAGCAACAACTGGAATTATACATCAATGGTGGAAAATAAAATAGCACAGCCCATCTGAAAAACAGATTGGTTGTTTTGTATAAAACATAAAACCACCATATGACACAGCAGTCTTCACTCATAGGGATATACAAAAAAACCCTTCCATTCACATAAAAAACGTATGTATAAATGTTTTGTTTTATTCACAAAAAGAGAAAACAACACAAATATCCTTCCACTGGTATATACATAAAGTGAGATATGTCTACAGAAAGGAATACTGTACAGCAATAAAAAGGAACTATCAATATATTCAATATACACGTCTTGCTTATCTGGTGCTGCTATAACAGAAATACCACAAGCAGATAGCTTTAACAAAGAGAGGTTTATTCACTAGATTACAAATCCAAATCCAGGGCGTCAGCTCCAGGGGAAGGCTTTCTCTGTGTTGACTCTGGAGGAAGGTCGTTGTCATCAATCTTCTCCTGGTCTAGGAGCTTCTCTGCACAGGAACCCCAGGTCAACAGGATGCACTCTGCTCCCAATGCTGTTTTATTAGTGGTATGAGGTCCCCCATTCTCTGCTCGTTTCTCTCTCCTTTTATCTCTTGTAAGATAAAAAGGTGATGCAGGCCACACCCCAGGGAATCTCCCTTTACATTGGATCAGGGATGTGATCTGAGAAAGGCCTTTACAGTCTACCCTAATCCTCTTCAACATAATCCAATCCTGCCTCCTTAATCACAGGCAGAGATTAGGATTTACAAAACAGAGAAAAATCACAAAATGGAGAATAACCACACAACGCTGGGAATCCTGGCCTAGCCAAATTGACACATATCTTTGGGGGACACAATTTAATCCATAATATATAAATCTCAAATCCATTATAGTAAATGAAAGGAATCAGAATCTAAAAGCTACATATTAAATAACTAGTATAGGGACAATTGTTAAGAATTCAAATTGAGGAGAAGGTTTGACTAAAAGAGGGTAGCACTGTGGATTATTTGGAGGTAAGAGCTATTCTGTGCTTTCCTTGTGGTACTGATTATATGAATTGATACATTTGTCAAAATTCATATTACTGTATATTCCAAAAACGGATTATCATTTTTAAATTTAAAAAAATATACAAGTGATGAAGAATGACTCTAGAAAAATTGCAAATTAGGTTAGGGAGAAAACAAATGACTAAAGAAATCACTGTTTAATCTTTGGCAGAGAAACCCTGTTAATGTTCTAGTCTTCTCTACAGGCTGGTTTGTCTGCATATATAAATGTTTTATAAAACTACCACCATTATGTACACTCTATACCCTGCTTTTCAAACAACAAAAAGCTATGACTGCCTCTCCTAATGTAGACTACAATTTTTCTCAATAAATTCATTTACTAGCAGTACAACGTTGTGACATGTAGCCAGGCACTTCCTGAAAACTGCCTGTTGTACAATGACACTGTTTCCTCCCTTTCAGTATTTCCAACATCACTATTATCAATGGACACAATTAGGGTACCCAGGGATTTCCATATGATGATTTTGAAAGGGGAACTGCTCGGCCAATGGGAAACCTAAAAGCAATGCTTCTGGACCTAGGGCCATCATTTTGTAGGCCCTCCACATAAGAGTCAAAAAGACTCCAGCAGCATGGGGTGGTGGCTCTGTATAAACATCCAGGTTCTACAGCAAGTATACACTAAGTGGAAGAGCAGCCACCAGTCCAGCCCGACCTAACAATGGTAGCCTCAGCCCCTGGCCCAGCACCCTCTCCTGAAACTACAGAATTACCAAATGCAGGACTCTGCCTTAAAATACAGGTTCTAGGGCTGTCAGAGACTGAAGCTCTATTGCTGCTAGGTCAAGATGTGGGTCTGTATGGACCCCAAAGATGAGCCCTCCTTCCATGGAAACGATGCTTCTCACAGCACCATTTGCAAGGGGCATTTTTATCAGCAAAACAGAGATTATAATAGTTGTAAAGAATAAATGAGTAAAGCAATGCCAAAAAATGTTCAGTACAACACTATATGTATAGTAATAATCAGAACCTTTAAGAAACTGCTACTTTCCAGACAAAGAAGGCTAAAATACTCAAAACAATTGTGGGACATTGAATGATTTATAGGTTTTCCTCATGATTTTCAGTTAAAATCAAATTTTCTATAACGGGTACATACTGTATTAGAATGTAAAAAAGTATACCTGTTAAACAGAAAACACATTTCAAGATATCCATAGGTTTATGACATTTGGTAATAAAGAAAAGTTGAATAAAACAGAAACAAAATAACATTTTGATACTTATTTAAAGCCATGTGCTAGAACTGAAAGGGTACTTTGCTTTCAATCACACAGTCTCTGTGTGTGACGTCTCATAAGGGACAATCAAGGTTTCCTTTGTTTTTTTTTACATTCATAGGCTCAATCCACAGTGTAATAAATTACGTTTTGTAAGAATTCCAAAAACTCGTAGATGTTTCTATTTTCCTTACATATACAATTTACTTCAAGTGTGACTTATCACATATTAGTAGACGTAACTAGTGAAGGCTTCCCCATATGTGAGAATCCTCACAATCTTGGATAGTACGAGGGGAACAGCAAAATCTTTACCATAAAACTTTTTTACATTACTCGGTTTCTATCGCATGTATTTTCTTTCAGGTTTTCAGAAAGATGAGGGATATCTACAGCTTTCCAACATTACTTACACATGTATTCTTTCAAGTGAAGCTTCTCACATGTCTTCAAAAGCCTGAGACAGAACTGAAGAGTTTCTTTCATTCCTTGCATCCATAAGGTCTCTCTCTAGTGTGAGCTTTTATGAGGAGTGACTAAAGGCTTTTCCACATTCCTTACATTCATAAGGCCTCTCTCCACTGTGAGTTCTTATATGATCAGAGAGAATTGAGGATTGACTAAAGGCTTTCCCACATTCCTTACATTCATAAGGCCTCACTCCACTGTGAGTTCTCATATGCCTAGTGAGCTGTGAGAAACTAAAGGCTTTCCCACATTGCTTACATTCATAAGGCCTCTCTCCACTGTGAGTTCTTACATGTGCAGTGAGGCGTGAAAAACATCTAAAGGCTTTCCCACATTCCTTACATTCGTAAGGCCTCTCTCCACTGTGAGTTCTTCTATGATCAGAGAGGGTTGAGGACCGACTAAAGGATTTCCCACATTCGTTACATACGTAAGGCCTCTCTCCACTGTGAGTTCTCATATGTCTAGTGAGGTGTGGGAGACAACCAAAGGCTTTCCCACATTCCTTACATTCATAAGGCCTCTCCCCACTGTGAGTTCTTTTATGCTGAGTGAGGCATGAGGCCTGACTAAATGTTTTCCCACATTCCTTACATTCATAAGACTTTTCTCCGCTGTGTGTTCTTTCATGTTGAGTGAGGTGTGAGTACCTACTAAAGGCTTTCCCACATTCCTTACAGTCATAAGGCCTCTCTCCACTGTGTGTTCTTCTATGCTGAATGAGGGATGAGGCCTGCCTAAATGCTTTCCCACATTTCTTACATTCATAAGGCCTCTCTCCACTGTGAGTTTTTATATGGTTACAGAGGAATGAGGAACGACTAAATGCTTTCCCACATTCCTTACATTCATAAGGCCTCTCTCCACTGTGAGTCCTCATGTGTCTAGTGAGGTTTGAAGAATGACTAAAGGCTTTCCCACATTCCTTACATTCATAAGGCCTCTCTCTACTGTGTGTTCTTATGTGGATAGTGAGGCTTGAAGAAAAACTAAAGGCTTTCCCACATTCCTTACATACATAAGGCCTCTCTCCACTGTGAGATTGCATATGGGTAGTAAGGTTTGAGGACTGACTGAAAGCTTTACCACATTCCTTGCATTCATAAGGCCTCTCTCCACTGTGAGTTCTTATATGTTTAGTTAGAGATGAGGAACAGCTACAGGGTTCCCCACGATTCTTACATTTACAAAGTTTCTCTCTAGTAAGTGTTCTCGAATAAGGTTTTACAAAAGAGGGCCAACTGCAGGCTTCTTCACATTCCTTACAATGATGAGGTTTGTATCTAGCATGAGATCTGATGTGATGCTTAAATGTATGATCCTTGAAGGCTTTTCCACACTCAGAACATTCAGAAGCATTTACTCCAGCAGTTCTTTTGAGCCTAGTAAGATTTGCAATCTGACTGAAAGTTTTACCACACTGATTACCTTCTTTATATTTCTTTACTTTATCTTCTTTACTTGCTCGGAGGCTCTCTACCATATATTTTCTGTTGAAAATAGGAAGTATGTTGTTAGAATTAAATTTTTTACCATTTCAAAATTAAAATACACACTGAATGTGCATTTTCTGCCTGGCATTGTCTCATGTGGCATAAGTTCAACCATCTCACAGAGAGCTGCTGTTATTGTCATAGTCTTTATAAATAATGAGGCTTTATGATAATTGTATACAGGTGAAACATGCCTCAAACACTCAATATCTGATTCACATTTATGGAAATAGTGTTGTGAAAATAAGGTGAACACATAATTTTAGAGCTAGTTTTCTACACAGACACATCTACATGCACACGAATTTCATAACCCATGAAGACTGTCCCCTGAGGCATAGCTTACTGCCATGTGTATGATACCTCAAATGCCTTTCCTGCTTTTTGTGCTGATTTTCACTGTCATGGAATTCACAGATTTCTCCCACCATGGATGACCAGGAGTCATTCATCATGAATTGCACTAATATATGTTCAATGGATAACTTTTGTCCATTATTATCCTGTTGAGAAACTGACACAATAATTTTAGTTAAGTGGTTTCAGAGTTCATAAATGAAACAAAACATTAAGGAAATTTTATGAGGAAGAAAGCGTCTGTGAGGAAAGAAACACTAAGGCAGTTGGATATTCCAGGATTTTGATAAAGGTCTAAAGAGTAAGAAATTACTAAGAAATAATTCCATGATGATTGAGAGTGATGGTGACTAAAAACCAAACCAAACTCCACTGCTGTAGAGTAGATTTCAACTCTTAGTGATCCTATAGGACAGAGTGGAAATGCCTCATAGAGTTTCCAATGGTGTAATCTTTACGGAAGCAGACTGCCACATCTTTCTCCTGTGGAGCAGCTCAGGGGTTTGAATTGCTGACCTCTTTGTAAGCAGCCAAGAGCTTTAACCCCTGTGCCACCAGAACTCCTGTTAGTGACTAAACTAGGGTGTTATTAGGACAGCAAAACTAAAAGGTACCGCAAACAATCCAAGTGTGTAAAGGTAATATTAAAAGAGAAAATGGGGAGGGCATGAGAGGATTGATGAAAAATCAACAAAGTCAGTTCAGACATGTGTGGAAGTTCAGCCCCCTTAAAGCAAAAGAGACTTTTGAGTTGATTTCTTCAAATGTAATGCCACCAAGTAGGGCTGGTCCTTCAAAGGATTCTTGCCTTCCTTTACTCCCCGACACAGTAGGTCCCAGTAAGTCCTACCTCCACTCTCCTCAGATATTTCCCTTGCTTCAAAGAGAGAACAATCAGCATGGCTGATATGGTGCTCATTGGGAAAGGCAGACAGAGGAGCAAATTTCCCGGATATTGCGCCAATGCTTTGGTCTCCAGGGTCTCCAGACATAGACAATTTTGATTTTATTCACAGAAAAATAATCATGTCAAATTGGTAATATACACAGTAAAAGTCTAATGAGGTCCTAAAGCACAAATCTTTCATTGCCACAGAACTGACCCCTGCAGCCAATGCTCACACTTACAGCACTTACAGAGCCTCAAGGCTTTTAACCACAAACAAAAAAGACAGTTTAATACATAAAATTTTACTGTCATGGGTAAACCACTAGAGTCTAAGCTCCATGAGGGCAGTGAAAACGTGTTATGTTTGCCAATATATTTCTACTCCTCAACCCAAATTTTATAAGGTTGAAAAGAACAATATATTTATATGTTAAAGAAGTAAATAAGGAAAATGAAGCCATTCTTACCTGAGTCCAGGTTCCTGAAGGTTTCTACCATCACATCTTTGTAGAGTTTCCTCTGAGAAAAATCCAACAAAGCCCATTCTTCCTGGGAAAAGCCCATGGCCACATCTTCAAATACCACTGAGTCCTAAGACATCACATATATTCTGGATAAGCATGGTAACATCTATTGAGGAATTGAGAATTTATAGAGAGATCACACAATGTTCTGTGTTCTCTCCAGAGTTTTGACATCAGGCTCATCTCTTTGCTGTTTGCATTTTTATTCCTGACTGGTAGTATCTTATTTTATACATTTAACAATATTTCCAACACACTGAGCTTATCTCTCCAATTTGACTATGATCAATTCCAGTCTTATTCCTATCTATACTTATGGTCCAGAGAGCGAGAACACATAACAGAAGAGAAAGAAATCTTCAACCAATAAAACACCTATTTCCAAATAAAGGTCATCAATTCCTTGTGGAAAAAAAAATTCACCTCCTTCCATAAGACCCACAAGAACATTCAACAAAACACAAAGCATGGGGTAAAATCAAGGTAAGATATCAATAACTGAGACTCACTGAAGGGCTAACAGCTTTTCAGTTTGCTTGAATTCACAAAGCAAGCATGACAACCAGATTCAGATATGGGAATGATTTTGGAATTATTAGACTGGAAGTATAAAACATCTGTTATTCATATGAAAAGGCTGCAATGGAAAATGTACACCACATGCAACAGATGGGTAATGAGGGCAGAGAGATGAAAACGCTAAGAAAAATCAAAAGAAAATCCTAGAAATCAAAAACAATGTAATAGAAATGAAGAATGTCTTTAATGACATCAGCAGTGGATTGAACATGGCTGAGAAAATAGCTTCAAAGCAGATTAAGCGACACATCCAAAACTGAAATGTGAAGAGAAAAAAGAATGAGAAAAAAATGAGAGGGGGCAGAATATTTGAAAACTGTGAAACAAAAGGTATAACGTGTAATGAGAATACCAGAAGAAGAGAAAAACTAAAAGAAACATTTGAAGTAATGATGGCTGATAATTTTACAAAATTAATGACAGACACCAAACCATAGACCCATAAGTTCAGACAACAATGAGCAAGATAAATGCAAACATCTATACCAAAGCATATAATATTTGACCTATGGAAAATCAAAGAAAGAATATACTGGAAGATGCCAGAGAAGAAAACACACCTTACCTATACAGGAGCAAGATTACAAAATACAGTAGACTTGTGCTCAGAAGCCATGGAATCAAGAAGAGTGGAGTAAAATATTGAAAAGTATTTAAAAAAAAATAGAATTCTGCATACAGCAAAATCCTTCAAAAGTGAAGGAAAACTATAGACATTCTCAGACAAATTTTGATGGAATTTCTTGCAAGCATATATGTTTTGCAAGAAATGTTGAAGTTCTTCATAGACGAAAAGGAAAATGATATAGGTCAGAAACTAGAGTGTATAAAAAGGAAGAACATGAAAGAATGAGAAAATAAAATTTTATCTTATTTTTAATTATCCTGAAGTACAATGCTGGCAGGTATAGAATAATATCTATACACCTACAAGGAAGACCAGTTAATACAACTATTATACAAACTTACACACCAACCACTAAAGATGAAGATACTGAAGATTTTTGCCAACTTCTGTAGTCTGAAATTGATAAAAAATGCAATCAAGAAGTAATTGATTTATTGGCGAAGGGAATGTGAAAGTTGAAAGCCAAGAAGGATTGGTCGTAGGAAAATATGGCTTTGGTGATAGAAGCAATGCCAGATATTGTATGATAGAATTTTGCAAGACCAGCGACTTCTTCATTGCTAATACCTGTTTTCAACAACATAAACAGCAACTATACATGGGGACACGCCATATGGAATACACAGGAATCAAATCAAATACATCTGTGGGAAGAGACAATGGAAAAGCTCAATATCATCAATCAGAACAAGGCCAGGGGCCAGCTGTGGAACAAACCATCAACTGCTCATAAGCAAGTTCAAGCTGAAGCTGCAGAAAATTAGAATAAGGCCACAAGAAGCAAAGTATGACCTTGAGTATATACCATCAAAATTTAGAGACCATCTCAAGAATAGATTTGATGCCTTGAACACTAATGACAGGAGATCAGATGAGTTGTGGAAAGACTTCAAGGACATCATCATGAAGAAAGCAAGGGGTCATTAAAAAGACAGAGAAGAGAGAAAAGACCAAAATGTATGTCAGAACTCTGAAAGCTGATACTGAACACAGAGTAGCTAAAGTGAAAAGAATAAATGATGAAGTTAAAGACCTGAATAGAAGATTTCAAAGGGCAGCTCGAGAAGACATATTATAATGACATGTGCAAGGACTTGGATATAGACAACCAAAAGGGAAGAACACACTCAGAATTTCTCAAGCTGAAAGAACTGAAGAAAATATTCAAGCCTTGAGTTGCAACAGTAAAGGATTCTATGGGGAAAACATTAAACGAGGCAGGAAGCATCAAAAAAGGTAGAAGGAATACAGAGTCACTGTATCCAAAAAAAACTGGTTGACCTACAATGGTTTCAGTATATATCATATAATCAAGAACTGACAGTACTGAAGGAAGAGGTCCAAACTGCACTGAAAGCACTGGCGAAAAACAAGGCTCCAGGAATTGACAGAATACCAATTAATATGTTTTAACAAACAGGGCACTGGAAGTGCTCACTTGTCTGTCAAGAAATTTGGAACACAGCTACCTGGCCAACCGACTGGAAGAGATCCGTATCTGTACCTATTCCAAAGAAAGGTGATCCCACAGAATGTGGAAATTATCAAACAATGTAATTAATATCACACACAACTAAAGTTCTGCTGCAGATCATTCATAAGTGGTTCCACAAGTAGAAAGAGAGCAACAAAAGAAGTCCTTGGGTGCCAGAAGAAAGGAAATAATAAGAATTAGAGTAGAATTAAATGAAATAGAGAATAGAAAAACAATTAATAAGACCAAAAGCTAGTTCTTTGAAAAGATCAACAAAATTGATAACCATTGGCCAAACTGACAAAAAAAAAAAAGAAACAAGAGAGGAAGCAAATAACCCATATAAGAAATTAGATGGATGATATCACAACAGACCCAACTGAAATTAAAAGAAATATAACAGACTACTATGAAAAATCGTACTCTAACAAATTTGAAAACCTAGAGAAAATGGACAAATTTCTAGAAACCTACTACCTACCTAAACTAACACAGAGGTAGAACTAAATAAACCCATAGCAAAAGAAGAGATTGAAAAGTTAATTTAAAAACTCCCAAGAAAAAAAAAAGCCCTGGCCCAGATGGCTTCACTGGAGAATACTACCAAACTTCCAGAGAACAGTTAACACCACTACTACTAAAGGTATTTCAGAGCAAAGAAAAGGACGGAATACTCCCAAACTCATTCTGTGAAGTTGGCATAACCCTGATACCAAAATCAGGTAAAGACACCACAAAAAAAGAAAATTACAGACCAGTATCCTTCATGAACATTGACGCAAAAATCCTCAAAAAAATTCTAGCCAACAGAATTCAGCAACATATCTAAAAAATAACTTACCATGACCAAGTGGGATTTATACCAGGTATATAGGGATGGTTCAACATTAGAAAAACAGTCAATGTAATCCATCACATAAATAAAACAAAAAACAAGAACTACATGATCTTATCAATCAATGTAGAAAAGACACTTGTCCAAGTCCAAAAACCACTCATGATAAAAACTCTCAACAAAATAGGAATAGAAGGGAAATTCATCAATATAACTAAGGGCATTTATACAAAGCCAACAGCCAACATCATCTTAAATGGAGAGACTTTGAAAGCATTCCCCTTGAGAAAGGGAACCAGACAAGCATACCCCTTATCACCACTCTTATTCACCATTGTGCTGGAGGGCCTAGCCAGAGCAATTAGGCTAGAAAAAGAAATAAAGGGCATTCAGATTGGTAGGGAAGAAGTCAAAGTATCTCTATTTGCAGATGATATGATCTTATACACAGAAAACTCTGAAGAATCCACAAGAAAACTATTGGAACTAACAGAAGATTTCAGCAAAGTTTCAGGATACATGATAAGCATACAAAAATCAGTTGGATTCCTTTACACCAACAAAGAGAACCTCGAAGAGGAAACCAAATCAATACCATTTACAATAGCCCCTAAGATAGAAATACTTAGAAATAAATCTAACCAGAGACATAAAAGATCTACACAATGAAAACTACAACACACTACTGCAAGAAACCTACATAAGCAGAAAAACATACCTCGCTCATGGATACGTAGACTCATTGTGAAAATGTCAATTCTACCCAAAGCAAACTACAGATACAATGCAATCCCAATCCAAATTCCACCAGCATTTTTTAATGAGATGGAGAAACAAATCACCAATTTCATATGGAAAGGGAAGAGGCCCCAAATAAGTAAAGCATTACTTAAGAAGAACAAAGTGAGAGGCCTCACACTACTTGATTTTAGAACCTATTACACCGTCACTGTAGTCAAAACAGCCTGGTACTGGTACAACAGATACATAGACCAATGGAACAGAATTGAGAATCCAGATGTAAATTCATCCACCTGTGAGCAACTGATATTTGACAAAGGGCCAAAGTCTGTTAATTGGGGGAAATGACAGTCTGCTGGAATACCTGGATATCCATCTGCAAAAAATGAAACAAGACCCATACCTCACGCCATGCACAAAAACTAACTCAAAATGGATCAAAAAACCTAAATATAAAATCGAAAACAATAAAGATCGTGGAGGAAAAAATAGGGACAATGCTAGAAGCCTTAATACATGGCATAAACAGAATACGAACCATAAGTAACAATGCACAAGCACCAGAGAGACTAGATAACTGGGAGCTCCTAAAAATCAAAC